TTATGAACGAAATTGTTTGAATTTTACAGAAAATTGTACTTAAAGTCAGTGTGTGCACAAGGCAGACAAATAAATAATTCAAAGTGAGAAAATATATTGTTTATTATCGTGAACAAAAAGAGAAAATAAACACTTTTATTCAATTCTATCCAATTTATGCAGACACGTCAAATAAAACCTTGGTGTCTTTTTAACAATTTCAAATTTCACGTATTTGAACTGTGTGTTTCTATTGCGTGCAGGGCTGCCATAAGCAATTTTGGGGCTCCTTACATAGCTCAAGACTTGGGCATCCCAGGGGCAGACCCTGAATCCATCCATGGGACGCACACTCGACTCCACCCACAAGTACGCAGTGCACAGTGTGTACGGGATGCTGTGTGTGTAGAGAGGATGCTGTGTGTGTAGTGGATGCAGAGTGCATGTGTTTGTGTAATGGATACAATGTGGGTTTGTTGTTGATGCAGCGTGTGTGTGTAGTGGATGCAGTGTGGGTGTGTAGTAGATGCAGAATATGTTTGTGTAGTGGATGCAGTGTGTACATTTGTGAGGTAGAAAGGATAGAGACTGTGCATTTTTTACATTTTAAAATTTATTCCCCCTACTTGCCTCTTACCTGTGACCAGTGAGGGAGGAAATTACATCCCCTGGCGGTCCAATAGCAATGTAAAGCTTGCTGTCTAGTATAGTGAAGATGTGGCCCAGGAGACTTTAGTTTCCTCCTTCTGGCCAATCAGCATCTCCTCATAGAGATGCATGGAATCAATGGCGAAAGTACAACATCTCTATGAAGAGCACTCACCCAGGAAGTACCTCTGAGTGATTGCCCCCAAAGGTGTCCCTGGGTAGCAATGTAAAAACGTTTCCCTGAAAAGGAAGTGTTTACATTACATTGCCTGCAGAGACATACTACTGAAAGCAGCATAACTGCAGTAAACCGTAGTTGTTCTGGCTATAGTGTCGCTGTAAGCTAGACAGCAGTCAGGATTACAAGTCCAAAGGGATTTTGGCCCTCCTGGATCGCCAGGCCTGATGGCAGACCTGATTGTATATCCACAATATATAATTTCTCCTAGTTATGCATGATGACAAAACATGGATTCAAATGAATGCAGGTCATAAAACTTCACTGGTAGTAAGAAACAACAGGGATTAGACAAGAGTAACAAAAAAAAACAAAAAACTATCAATTAGAATCAAAATGTCAGCTGATCATGCAGATTTAGTAAGAACAGTACTTCATTCTATAACTGTGCACATCTGTAGTAGCGCCACCTACTGTTCAGTCTGATAAACACTCATAATGAATGATGAATCTTATAGTAACATCAAAAATTGTTTTGTAGTCGCAGTGTTATGCTGCAACTCACATGCATGGTAAGGTGTTAATGCTTATAAGTACAGAATATAGGATAGGTTAAATGGCATGGATACACAACAAATATTTCAAGGGATTTCAGGATGGTAGAGGAACTAGAAAAAGGAAGGCAACTTGAAATTGGAGACATGGGAAATTTGGCAATAGTATCAGGACACACATAGTGGTATATTAATTTACCCTCCAGTAGATGTGGTAGAAAGTAATACATTTGAAGAATTCAAGAAAGCTTTGGCTATATACAATGTAATCTTAAACAGGATATATAATCAGGATTAAAGTATGTGCTTTTAGATTGGGAAGAGGTGGATTGGAATTTCTTGACAGTCCAGACTTTATACACTGAACCGTAAGTTAGGGAAAATTGGTTACCTACTTATAAAGGGACACTATAGTCAGTGTAAAGGACCACCAAAGGCATGCAGACCACAATGAATTGATCTGGGCGCAGTGGCCCTTTAGTTTTAACTGTGCAATGGAAATGACTGCTATTTAGTAGATATGTCAATGCTTGCAAGGGTTAAATAAATACGCCTCTAGTGGCTGTCTACCAATAGGAGCACATTTCTGGTCTCGCATGCCCTTTTTGTCCCATTAGCTATGCAAAGTATTGGATTAAAAGTTTAGCAGCATTGGCATGACATTGAGGGAGGCAGATTGAATGGCTGCTGGGACTCAATCTCGGCTTTGGGAAAAAAGGTAAGTGATAACCTTTATTCCAATTTTAATGAGTTTGAGGGGAGGGGGCTGAATCTGAACAAAGAGGATAATACTAAGAATATAGATAGCTTAATGTAGAGGTTCTGTGGCATATAGACTGACCCTGCAGGTTTGCTGAGCATTGTAAACACTGTTTTTCTGTCACTTTGACAGCCCCTAGGGGGGCTTCCTAGGGTTCAGAGATTGCAAGACAGATGTTCGGAATTCCTATGATCTACATGGAGATGAAGAAAGCTCATCAAGCTCTCCTCCCATTGGAGGAGATACTGATTGGCGTAGCACAGTGATCTGCCGAGCATGCACAATAGCTTTAAAAACATGTAAAACAGCAAAGGATGCAAATCACATCCTGGTTTCGTTCCGATCACGTGGTCCGCTTCCGGGTCCGCCCCTCTGATGACGTACGTGTGACGCGTTTCACCCGCCTCCACAGGCTTCCTCTGTCAGAGGAAACGCGTCACACGTACGTCATCAGATGGGCGGACCCAGAAGCGGACCACGTGATCGGAACGAAACCAGGAAGTGATTCGCATCCTTTGCTGTTTTACATGTTTTTATGTGGGTGGCTCTGTGAGTCCATACCCACCATATCCCAAGTAAGGGTTTTTAACTTGTGTTATTAAATACATTGCCTGTGATATTATTCAATTGGAGGTCCTGCCCTTCTTTTTTCATACAGTATTATTGAACTGCTAGTGGATACATTCTTTGGAATGATCTTCAGTGTGGGGATATCCCCTCTCCAAAGGAGCTTTGCAAACTCAGAGCCAGGGGTGATATGGCCCTGGGACATGTGAGTTTTTTCCCTCACATTTCTCCAATTTTTTTCTTTGATGTTTATCATGTTTATCGACCAAAAACACTAAAACAGTCCCACCTCCCAAGCGTCATGTATCTGATGGAGATGGTGCTGGAGGGAAACTCATAGGATGCAGCTATAAGAAAACACATACCCTATGCTAATCTCTCTCTAATTTATGCTTTCATCTTTCAAGTAAGTCCATAACCCCTAACAGCAGTGTCCAGTGAAGCAGGAAGTCAATGGGCGGGGTAAAAGAGTGTGCCACTGGTGCAAATCACGTGACCAGACCTGCCAAAAGGGGTGAACATGCCCAAAAAGGGGGCATGTTTGTCCAAAGAATTGGAAGGTCAGCCTGGTGTGAATGCATGTCAGGCTGCCTGCCAATCCTGCAGGCTGTCCAACTAAGGGCATACTATGCAGGCAGCACCTTGAGCTTGACATAAATGCGTCTAATGATGCGCTCACTCCATTCTTTCTAAGGACTGTCCCATAGCACTCGCTGGTCCACTTGTCTCCTTACCTTCTTACTAGCAGGCAGAAGTTCCTGGTATATAGTCTGAGACAGAGAAAAGGTGTCTGTAGTGAGTGTAGAAGAAAGGGGACATGCCACAGTGTTAGAGAGACCAACGTCTGCATTACCTAAACTAACTTTAATGTCAGCCAGTGCACACAAGTTTTGTTCCCATACATCCCTCTTAAGCTTCCAAACTCACTATAGTCACCAGAACAACTACAGCTTATTGTACTTGTTCTGGTAAGTAGAATCATTCCATTCAGGCTTTTTGCAGTAAACACTGTCTTTTCAGAGAAAATAACTCCACTGGCTGCTCCTTAGATGGCTGCTAGAGGTGCTTCCTGGGGCAGTACTGCCAAGTGTGCAGCACTGCCATTCAGTGTCTCCACCCTTTGCATGCAGACACTGAACTTTCTTCATAGAGATGCATTGATTCAATTTATCTTTATGAGGAGATGCTGATTGGCCAAGGCTATGTTGAACTTGTGCTGGCTCTGCCCCTGATCTGCCTAGTTGACAGTCTCAGCCAATCCTATGGGGAAGTATTGTAATTTGTCAGACCACCACTTCTGAGCCAGCAGCTGGAGAATTGAATACAAGTAATATTTTACTATATTTAGGGAGGCAAGAAGGGGCCAGGGTGGTGGTTTTAACATAATAGGGTCAGAAATACAGGATTGTGTTCCTGACCCTATAGTGCTCCTTTAAGCAAGAGTATGTGAAGAGTAGTTAAGGTTTCCACCTTTATTGGGAAAAAATACCAGCCTTAATCATTTGTATAATTAATTAGTTATGCGTGACATCACATGATGTAAATCACAAGGAGTGATAGAGAAAAATCTGTAAAATCACCAACAAACTACTCACAGTTTGATTCTGCTGTATAGATGGATTGCTCCCAGTGTCTCCTTGTCTCGCAAGTCACCTAGTGTCTCAGTGTCCCCATGTCGCCCAGTCCCCTAGTCTCCCAGTGTCTGTGTCCCCATTTCTCCCAGTGTGTCCCCATGTCACTAGGATACTGGGGACACTGAGAGACCCGGGGACACAGAGAAATTGGGACACAGACATTTAGGGAAACTGGGAGAAATGTGGACACTGAGACACTAGGGACACAGACACTAGGAGACATGGGGACACTGAAACATTTGGGGACACTAAGACACTAAGGACAAAGACATGGGAACACAGACACTGGGAGACTAGGGGACACTGGCTGGGAGACATACACTTGGGGACACTGGGAGACATGGGTACAGTTGTGGACAGACATGTGGACACTGGGACATATAGGGACACTGGGAGACATGGGGACACCAGGCACACTGAGACACTAGGAACACAGACACTGGGAGACATCTAGACACTGAAACATTTGGGGACACTAAGACACTAGGGACACAGACGCTGGGAGACTAGGGGACACTGGGAGACTAAGGGACACTGGCTGGGAGACAGTTGTGGACATAGACATGGGGACACTGGGACACATGGGGACACTAGGCACACAGAGACATGGGACACAGACACTGGGAGACTTGGGGACACTGAGACACTGGCTGGGGGACATAGTGTCTCCGTGTCCCAATGTCTCAGTGTCTCCCAATGTCCCTATGTCTCACAGCGTCCCCATGTGTCTTAGCATCCCCATGTGTCCCAGTGTCCCCATGTTTTCCAGTGTCCCCAGGTCTCCCAGTGTCTGTGTCACCATGTGTCCTAGTGTCTCAGTGTCCCCTAGTGTCTGTGTCCCAGAGGGTCTGTGTCCCCTAGTGTCTGTGTCCCCATATGTCCCCAAGTGTCTCAGTGTCCCCATATGTCCCCAAGTGTCTCAGTGTCCCCTAGTGTCTCAGTGTCCCCATGTTTTCCAGTGTCCCCAAGTGTCTCAGTGTTCCCAGGTCTCCCAGTGTCTGTGTCCTAGTGTCTCAGTGTCCCCTAGCGTATGTGTCATCATGTGTCCCCTAGTGTCTGTGTCCCCTAGTGTCTCATTGTCGCCATATGTCCCCTAGTGTCTCGGTGTCGCCATATGTCCCCTAGTGTCTCAGTGTCCCCATGTGTCTCAGTGTCCCCTAGTGTCTCAGTGTCCCATATGTCCCCTAGTGTCTCAGTGTCCCCTAGTGTCTCAGTGTCCCCTAGTGTCTCAGTGTCCCCATGTGTCCCTGCTGCCTTTCCCCCCATCCCTCACTTACCTGAGCTGTAGAGCTGCTGTCTTGACTCTCTCTGCTGTGTAGCTGCACCCCCACGGATCAGTGAGTAGTAGAGAGAGGCAGGGATATTCTGTAACTTCCTATCCCTGACTCTCCCCACACACAGTGACCCCTACTGGCCGGTGCTGGTATTGCAGATTAATTTACATTTATTCTGAGAAAATTACCTACATTTGTATTGCCGGTATCACTGCAATACCGGCATGGCCAGGCAGCCTCAAATACCGTCTGTGCCATTAAAATACCAGTCAGATGGCAAACCTAAGAGTAGTGTGTAAAAAAAAAATAATTTTTTTTTTTTTTTTTTATGGGCCTATTCCATGGGCCTGGAGCTGCAGCTCCATCAGCCCCTATGTTAATCCGGCCCTGCTTGGTATGACGATTGAATAGAATTTATTAAATCAATAAAATCCCATGCTCATTTATAGTTAGAACTTGCTCTATCCATAATAATTTAAAAAAGTATCCCACTTTCCTCATTGGCTACCCAAGCTGTCAATCACTTTGAATATCTCTTTGACCAAACCTCGTGTTGGAACATAAATGTACTGCAAAGTGTATCCATGGAAATCGTGGTTATAATACATTTATGTTTATTGAAAAACTGACCGTCTCATTCATTTTTATTAAAAGAAAATCTAATGATAGATGATGGAGGATTTAAGAATTCTGCACTTTGGACTGTCTCCACATTTTGTGGTTTGCTTTGGCAGGACAGAACCAAGATGCTGAAATGGAATTTCAAACCACAGTGGAAAATGGACCACCGTGCAAATCGCCACAAGTGTAAACTGAGCAAGTGTCGGGCCTCAATACTGTCTTGATAGCTTCATCATTGTCACATGGTCCACTCATAAAAGCAATGTCTGGAGCTCAAGAGAAGGACATGTACAGTTGAGCATAAATATTGTTAGCGTTGCAGTAGGATTGTAAAGACTTACATTTATAATATAATATGACAGTAATATGATATAAATACAATGCAACATTCTATACAGGGACAGGGATATCCATATCCTTATATCGCATTACATTTACAATCCAGCTACATAATGGACATTATTAACCCTTAGTTAATTATTAACCCAATAGTTGTATACTGCTTTGCATTTGTTTACCTTTCTTAATTTTGCTCTGCATAACAATGTAATACAAAAAAAAAAAAATTTAGGCTATGAAACAAAGCTTATCTTCTGAAATTAATTTATCTGCCAGGTCTTCCTTCTGTCCCCCTGCATCTCTGCAAGGGGACTTAAAATGTCAGCTCCCTCTGATCTCTTTCCACTCTACAAAGACATTATGAAAGAGAACGATTATTACTACATTGTAAAGCAGGGGAAAGAGAGGGTAAGTATTCTGAAAATATTTAGTGAAGTATGGGAGTTGTACATAGGCTGTTATAGCACCTTGCAAGGATATGTATAGTGAAATAGACAATATTCCCATATGCAGATATCATTTTTACATTCCATTGGCATTTTATAAGTCTGAAATGTACATAGATGATGTAAGATTACTTTTAAATGCCAACAAGGAGGGTACTGATGCTTTTTGTGTTTATTTTATTTCACACCAGTTTATGACTAAAATAGTATGTCTACATGTTAGCTAATATTATAGAACTTTTTTATATTATATACTTGCTAAAATATTATACCTTTAAAACACTATCTTTAATTTTGATGGATTTCATAGTGGGACATCAGAGAAAGTAATTTCGTACCAAATCAAAATGTCCTCTTTACCCAGACTGATTTGTACATACATCAGTTGCAAGTTAAGTATATATAAATGTGATTTTAGACTTTAATATTATTTTATACATGCATCACACCACAAGTTTTGTACTCATGTAAAAGATGGAAATTGTGATATAAAAGAGAGCCAGATGAATTTGAGGCACATATAAGCACTACTGCGCCTAATGTAGTACACTTGGGACCTGCTGTTTTACCTCAGATAATAGACAAGCTATGCATCCAAATATTTGAAATGCATTTAAGCTAATATGTTTAAAGCAGAGATGCTTGTTAGAAAAGTGGTCATTTGAAGGGATCATTTCGCTTTAGACAGAGTTATTCTGACCCAGCTCGTACAACAGGAAAATGGTTGTACTTAAATTGCTAAGTTAAGTTTAGAAATCAGCTTCTGACCAAAACTCGCAGATATTATAGTATATTTCAGACTTTCGAGCATTATTCAATTATTTAGAGATTTCCAGACACGTTTACACAATCACATGTTTACAGATATGCTAGCTAGTAAATTAATTACCATAACTTAAATTTGTACATAATATTAAAAGGAAGACTCCCGTTGATGACATTATTTTATTGCTACATGTGTATGCGGATTTTTAAATATATAAATTTCTCACTGCAATATTTATTTATTTATAAAATATTTTACCAGGAAAGATACATTGAGATTTCTCTCGTTTTTAAGTATGTCCTGGGCATTACACAATTCCGTGGAACAGGAAGTTACTGCCTTATAAATAAACGTTGAGATTATTGTAATCCCTGCTAATGTCACTAGGTTAAAAGTGTACTCCCCATTTCAAAGGCAAAGTGAGGGTGCTTATTGTTTAATGTGATCCCACAATAAAATAAAGTAAAAGAGATTATTTGGTAGAATATCAAAGACAATATTAAAAATATAATAAAGAGTGAGTAGAGAACATAAAATGTGCATTATTGAAAGCGTCTAATTAAAGACAAGTTAGCCTGATGTCTCTTCTAGTTAAGACAATGCAGGCTATAATTAAGTATACAATTACAGCTTATTTGGATATGAATAGGGCAATCAGTAAAATTCAAAGTGGATTGCAGACTAAAAGGTTGCTAAACCATGCAGATTAGCATTTTGTACTGCGTTAAGAAAGACAATATGGAGATACCATGTGTACCTGGATTCTGGCAGATTATTGTAGATTAAAGGTTACATTATAAGGGCCTCTTTCAGCAGTTATGACAATCAAACTCATTCCCATCTTGTTAATTTAAAAATAAAATATGTAGCACTTCATGTTATGTGGGGGTATATCTGGCTGACTGTTATTACCAAGGATCATGAGCAATTCCTTTAAGGCTCATTAAGGTCCCAAGAGACATTAAGGAGCATGCAGATGTTGTCACCATGCAGTACTCTGGACTAGCCCTGAAAATGTGTTATGTTCAAATGTGCAATTTATCCGAAGTTGGGCCGAATGTGTGATCGGTCGAATTCCATAAGTCCGAACTGCAATATAGGTGAATCAGGAGCCAACCAAAAGGCTTAATGTTCATTTTGATTTATGATTCTGAATTCTGTCCGTGGCGCCCAAAAAAAGACTGATGGCTATAAGACAGTCACAAAATTATATTATTCACAGATCAAGTGAAAAGTGATCCGTAGGAAGAAAAAAGGAGGAGTAATGAACAAAAGCATAATTATATGTTATATATTTAATACATATTTAATATATATTTAATATATTTAATATATACAGTATCTAACAAAAGTGAGTACACCCCTCACATTTTTGTAAATTTTTTATTATATTTAAATGTGACATCACTGAAGAAATGATACAGAAATGAAGAAAACCGTTGGCAACAAAAGTGAGTACACCCTTAAGTGCAAATATCTAAATTGGGCCCAAAGTGTAAATATTTTGTGTGGCCACCATTATTTTACAGCACTGCCTTAACACTCATGCGCATAGAGTTCACCAGAGCTTCACAGGTTGCCACTGGAGTCCTCTTCCACTCCTCCATGATGACATCACGGAGCTGGTGGATGTTAGAGACCTTGCATTCCCCTACCTTCTATTTAAGAATGCCCAACAGATGCTCAATAGGGTTTAGGTCTGGAGACATGCTTGGACAGTCAATCACCTTTACCTTCAGCTTCTTTAGCAAGGCAGTGGTCATCTTGGAGGTGTGTTTGGGGTCATTATCATGTTGCAATACTGTCCTGCGGCCCAGTCTCTGAAGGGAGGGGATCATGCTCTGCTTCAGTATGTCACAGTCTATGTTGGCATTCAGGGTTCCCTCAATGAACTGTAACTCCCCAGTGCCGGCAGCACTTATGCAGACCCAGACCATGACACTCCCACCACCATGCTTGACTGTAGACAAGACACACTTGTCTTTGTACTCCTCACCTGGTTGCTGTCACACAAGCTTGACACTATCTGAACCAAATAAGTTTATCTTGGTTTTATCGGACCTCAGGACATGGTCCAGTAATTCATGTCCTTAGTCTGCTTGTCTTCAGCAAACTGTTTGCAGGCTTTCTTGTGCATCATCTTTAGAAGAGGCTTCCTTTTGGGATGACAGCCATGCAGATCAATTTGATGTGGTGTGCGGCGTATGGTCTGAGCACTGACAGGCTGACCCCAAAACCCCTTCAACCTCTGCAGCAAAGCTGGCAGCATTCATATGTTTTTTTTCCCCAAAGACAACCTCTGGATATGACGCTGAGCATGTGCACTCAATTTCTTTGGTCGACCATGGTGAGGCCTGTTCTGAGTGGAACCTGTCCTGTGAAACTGCTGTATGGTCTTGCCCATTGTGCTGCAGTTCAGTTTCCGTTTCTTTGCAATCTTCTTATATCCTAGGCCATCTTTATGTAGAGCAACAATTCTTTTTTTTCAGATCCTCAGAGAGTTCTTTGCTATAAGGTGCCATGTTGAACTTCCAGTGACCAGTATGAGGAAGTGTGAGAGCGATAACACCAAATTTAACACACCTGCTCCCCATTCACACTTGAGACCTTGTAACACTAACGAGTCACATGACACCGGGGAGGGAAAATGGCTAATTGGGCCCAATTTGGACATTTCCACTTAGGGGGTGTACTCACTTTTGTTGCCAACGGTTTTGACATTAATGGCTGTGTGTTGAGTTAATTTGAGGGTACAGCAAATGTACACTGTTATACAGGCTGTACACTTACTACTTTACATTGTAGCAGAGTGTAATTTCTTCAGTGATGTCACAAGAAAAGATATAATAAAATATTTACATAAATGTGAGGGGTGTACTCACTTTTGTGAGATACTGTATAATAACTGTGCTTCTGTGTTTTCCTTCTTTTGGTTTATTTTTCCTCAAATGATCTGTGAAC